TCTTGTGTAGACTTTTGTATAGAACCTGTCAAGTTATAGTCATCATACTATAGTTGAGCAGCTTCTGATATTACTGTAGTTAAAGAAAAAACTACAGGTTAACACTATTATACTCACAATATAGAAAATATTAAAGAAATAAGACAACAGATTAATGATAATATTTTCAAAAGATACTTCAAATTCCAATCATATCCAAAGTTAATAATTAATAGCATACTTAACCATTACAAAGACCCAGTCAAATTTGATAACATTAGAACAAACAATAATATAATCACTGATCTTCAAGACATTAAACAGCATATCCAACAATACTTTGACCAATGAACATCTTTCAGACAGACTAATCAACAAATCTATAAATTGAATTAGAAAGAAAAATATAATAGCAAAATGCATATTAATACTAAGTAGTATAATAACATTACTAAAGAATTTACTATCATTAAAGTGACTGAAACATTATCTCATCTTCCAAACAACAATGCCTGTGGCTCTTCTAGCATTAGTTATGAAATGCTAAAACATGTAGACATACTCTTCTTTCAAGCAATCACAGCCCTTCTAAATAGATATATTACCTTAAACCAAATTCTCAAGCAATAGAAAGAAAGTAAAAATTTTCCAATTTTTAAAAAACCTATTTTTAACTGCAACTTAATCAATACCAGACCTGTTAGCTTTCTTGAACATGCTAAAAACTATATACAAAACTTCTTACAAATGATTTAAATCAAGTATTCACTAAACATAAGATTCTTTTACCTTATAATTACATTGCTCTGCTAGGCAATAGCACAGCTATACCTATATATATCTTAAATAATATTATTAAAGATGCATCTTGCAACTCCAAACAGCTTTGGCTTATATCTTAAAATATAAGCAAAGCATATGACTTAGTTAATCTGAACCTGTTCAAAAAGATACTAATTTACATTAACATGCCTTTTAAGCTAGTTAATATACTTACTAACTTATTAACAGACTATTAAAATAAAATAATCACTAATCTTGGCCTAACTAACCCATATACAGTTAAAAATAAAATAGACCAGAGAGAAACAATAATTTCACTATTCTGGTGTATTTATTATGACCCACTTATCTATAAAATTGCATCACAATATAATATTTACTCATTATCTACAATTTGGAAAACCCACCTTCAATCATCTAAATTTCAAAGCCTTTAAGCATCTACATCAGTATTAGCTTACATAGATAATACATTTTGGATAGCAAAAACAAAACAAGAATTAGAACAAATTACTTAAACTGCTTCATCTTTCTATCTAATGGTCAACATTCAGATTAATGCTATCAAATCTGTTTTTATTTCTAACTCACTACATCTAATATTTAATTTTTTAACTATAAGTTATTAGATTGTTGGTTTATACTTAACAACAAATATACTAAACAAATTAAAATTATCTGGAAAGAAACTCTTCAATTTACAAACATTCTACAGTACCAGACAGTAAAAGACATCCAATAAAATTGGCTTATTATAAATTGTTATAACTTAAGAACAAGACATCGTATCAAAAATCTCTTTGACAAATCAATAGTTCTTGAGTCAAGCTACAATTCTGTCAGAGAAATTTTTATTTTAATTAGTTTTTAAAAAGTTATAACAGGTTAAAGTTTGCAATTTTTATAATAACTTCAAAAATTGGCGCATATGTATAATATAAACAAATCATGTGCTCACAATTCATTGGCTAAAATTTTGCACTAGAACGTAAATCCAATCTTTGAGTAAAAATTTTATAAACTTTTATGGTAAACTCAGCAAATTAGTTTTCATTAGCTTGTACATTTATTCAAACCAAATGATGTAGCAAACTTCGTATTTGATTTACTGAAATTCAAACGTAATATTACATGCATTTGTAAAGTCAATTTTCATAACACAACCTTGGATAGAATAAATCTTTTAATTGGCTTCATAGTTACTAATACACAACCTTCAAACCAATACAACACGATTCACCTAGGGATGTTATCAGCTCACTTGGCTCTGTTGATTAATCAGCTTCTATAATAAACCAGATGAAGCCAATAATATCCCTAGATCCATATCTACTTTTGGACTCAAGGAACCTGAATGTGCTGAGTCTCAACGGCTCATGCAAGATTAGGCATTACAATAATATTGCCATCATCTTTTCGCTTTGCTACAGGTCTTAATGTTCTTATTATACAGTGGCAATCTAATCTTATATCGCATTTACTTAAACGCCATTAGTGATGATCAAATAAAATGAGTCCAGTTCTGAGTATGCTTTAGAATAAAGTTTAATAAAAGCACAACTTTTGGATAAAGCAAAATAAAAAATATATAGGCACAAAATAGGTAAGGGCACCCAACGCCTGGTCTAAAAATGCCAATTACAGGAATCTGGTCCAAAAATGCATACCAATACCAATGTACATAGCATGTGCATTTACAGATTTCTAATCAGAACCAATCCATTATTCTTATCATAAGTTACCTCAGAGACAAACCATAAGTGAAAAATAAGAAATTTCTAATTGGCATTTATCTGTATAATTCTATATAAGTGCATGAGAGTGAAAATCTGCAACCAGTCATAGAAAATCATTAAATCTGTTTTCAGGTTTTCATTCTCACACACTAATATGTAACACTTGTGCCGATTCTCAAAGGGTCAATTACAAAAAATTAATTTTGTTCACATACTTTGATGATAATAATAATGTAATAAGACTTTTTACTAACCTGCTTTGCCACATATAATCAAATATGTAACGATTTTTTTTACCAAGTAGACCAACAGGAGGAAATGTACCTGATTCAAACTTAATCTCACACCTGGTATGCAGCATATAAAAAATCATTTCACAATGATGGGCCAGTTAACCACCAACAGTTTAGATCAGGTACATTTCCTCCTGTTGAATAAACTAGATTAAATCATTGATTTCTTAATTGTAAAGATAAAATAATTTAATAAAATCATTTGTAATACTTATATGCAATATATCATGTTCATTATTTCGAAATTGAATAATGCTTTGTTTCAAAATAACTCCCATTTATTTCTCAACATAAAGCACCCTTTCATTTATGCTTATTTTGAAAATCAACTCGTGAAAATTATATTTTAACTAATGCATATGGTTTATAGGGACTTGAGATAATATGCAGATAGACATTGCTTTGAGAAAATATGTTGGCTATTAAAAAATTAGATAAAGAATTAGGATGTTTAACAATATAAAATATTTAAGTAAAAAATTGTAATAAAAGGGTGTCTTCTGTTGGGAGGTTTTCGACCTTTGCCATGGCTTGAAAAAAATAAAGATATACTTCTTTGTGCATTATTATTTTAAGAATTTTCACACCCACAAAACCACCATGCCAAAACTTTCTGTTCTTAAAAAGCAACAAAAAAAAAAAATGAATGCAGCTCGTTCTGCTTGACAAGTGATGAATACTAAAAATCTTATTGACCTTAGTTCAAGTGAGGAATATGAAAGTAATAACTCTAATAGGGATAATGATTCGGACGATGAATTTGTAGAAGACGATGAACTAAATAACAATGAAGATGCAAGTTCAATTATAGACCATCTTCTTGCAGCTTCAGAAGCTAGTTTTGAAAAAAGAAATGACCAGAATTATATACTGGGCTTTCTGCAAGAACTCGTCAAAGAAAAAATAAGACATTAAAGGAAGCTGCAGCTGGAAGTTTAAAAATTACAAGTTTATTTGCACCACTAATACTCAGCTACCGGCCGCTGATGAAGAAGATATTGAAGACTATAGTTCTTTTAGGAGAGAATGCGATGATAATGAATCGGAGGATAATAATGAATCGGGGGATGATGATAAATCGGAGGATGATGATGAATCAGAGGATGAAGAAGTTTTGATTAATAAAACTATTGAATTTGTGAACAAAACAATGAATGAAAAAATACTCTCAAAAATGCTCTCAAAAACTAAAAAAACTCGTTATACAGCAGTTTTTTACTTTCTTCGGTTGCTTCTAGATGGTCAAGAGAAAATGGAGGCATCAGAAACAGTTGCAAAGGTAATTAATAGTGGTCCATGGCTCATGAAATGTATTAGAAAATAGGCAAACATTTGTATGAGAGAGAATTAATCCCATTAAGCCTGAGAGAAAAATTGCCTACCAAAAGCCCGTTTCATGATGAATTTGTATCTCTTCAGTTGGCTGCTTACTTACGAACTCAAAAGTTCAAAGCAACTCCTGAACCAGTTTAGAATTATTATGATCAACATATTTTATCTCAATTAAATATCAGACCTGTACAACATATTTCAGTCCAGACAGTTCGTCAGTAGATGCATAAGCTCAGTTTTCACTATCAACATTACCAAAAAGGTGTGTATAGGTGGAGTGAAATTACTCTTCTTAATAAAAATGATTTGGTAAAATTAGTAAAATTAATTTTTCAATATTAAAAATTAATTTATTAATTGAAACTAATCTAAATTAAATAAAATAATTATTTGATACAGTCAACCCTCCGTAAATGCACCCCTTGGACTGTAAGCAAAATGTACATTTAGAAAGGGTATGCATTTATGGAGGGTCGACTGTATTAATTTATAAAAATATTAAAAATATTGAAATTATTGTTGAAATTAAAAAAAAAAATTAAAAATAAATTTCACTATATCTATAGGTGTCTATGTGGATGGACATGAGTGACCAAATGTTGTTGCTTATCGTCAAACCTTTCTTGAGAAAATTGCACAGCTTGATCAACTTATGTCTAAGTGGCTTGACAAGATTGTAAGATAAGAACTTTTCCACAGCTAAATGATGATGAAAAAGAGCATGTATAAGTGACTCATGATGAAAGTACCTTCTATGCTTATGATGGACCACATTCTGTGTAAGGCCCAGTTGGGGAACAACCATTACAAAAAAAAGGATTAGGACCTAGCATGCATATAAGTGACTTCCTAACAGAAACAATAGGGCCTCTTAAAGATGATCAGGAAGAAGCATGAGTTATGATGGTATTGGGTGCCAACCGAGACAGATTTTGGGATTCTGCAAAGCTTCTTGAACAAGTCAAAATGTAATACTTATCTTTGAGCAAATACATCCAGATGTGTGGGTTTATTTGCCTTCAATAATGCCACTTCACACACGGCTTTTGCTGAGGACGCTCTTGTCACCTCTAAAATAAATCTTAGTCCAGATGGTTCTACTCCAAAAATGAGAGATACAATATGGAACAATGATCGTCAATCGATGATTATTGAAGAAGATTATTTTATCTATAATAAAAAAAAAAAAAAAATATTAATTTACGTGGTCAACCTAAAGGTAGGGATGACAAATATTTTTATTACATGCTTAAAAACAGACAGTGAATATGATCTAATATCTTAAATCCAGGTTTAACTATTCAGACTTTGATCATCACCAGTGTTTGAAATTAGTGTTCTCAGTTCCCATAAGAACATGGTTGTGAATTTGTGCATATTATTTACTGTACTCTTAAAAATTTTTGTGAACAGTAAAATAATAAAAGTGTTCTTATCTACAGTATAGAGATTAAAACCTCCTAAAACTTTTCTAATAGGTTAACCATTTAACTATATTAATCACTGGCATTTAAGATAATTTTTAACCTATTACCAACATAATTCATATTGGAATTACAGAACAATTTTATATAGCTAAATGGTTCCAGTTCTTACTATTATATGTTTTTCTAACATAGTAGTTTTTTTCTTTTTTGCTTGTTTATAAGAACAGCTATAGCCATTGTACTGTTTTTATGAAAACGGTATTTGAGTCTTAAATTTTGAACACTGATCACCACCTGTTTTAAATTAACAAAAATATTTAAAATTTTTTTTTTTTATTTTTTTACCATTCCTATTTAAAGGAATCAAGTGGGTCCTTACTGAAAGAGGATTATAGCAAGACAGGCTAGTGTTAGAGTGTGCTTTGTGCAAGAAAAAAGAAGCAGATCCTGATAATATTAACTGTTGTACATGTCGATTAATGGCCCACCAACCTGACTTCCTTGCAGAGTGTGGTCAAATTCAAAAATAAATAGAGTCTAAAGGACATAAAATTATATTCTATCCTAAGTTCCACCCTGAATTCAATTACATCGAAATGTACTAGGGAGCAGCCAAAAAGTACACCCAATCTCATTGTAAGTATTCATTGCCAAAACTAAAAAGGTCAATTATTGAGGCATTCGACTTTATTTCCATAGAGTGAGTTCGTTCTTTTGCTAGACTTTTATTTAGGTGGATGGATGCTTATCAGCAAGGGTTAATAGGAAAAGCAGCTAAATATGCAGTAAAGCAAAATAAGAAGCATAGAACAGTTAATGAGGAGATTATGAACTGGGCTAATGATGAATTGTTAAATTAAATTGTAAAAGTAAAAAAAAAAGGAAGTGGGTAATACTTATTTCACTATTATTAGTCTAGAGTAAATTTACTTTTAAAATATTAAATAGATCAGAATAAAAAATTAAAATTTTAAGCTTTACTTGCCTCTAACATACAGTAATAAAACTCGATAATTTTATCGTTTAGCTGCAATAGACAAAAAAAAAAAATCAAATGTAAATTGCTTATTCAAAAAGCTTGTTTTAGAGTTACATATGATCTTAGTTTTAAATTATAAATACACATCTATAATATTGACCTTAAAGTACTTGGCTAATTGAATAAAGCTGGTTTTAGACAACATTCTTAATTCGTTAGTGTTTAAGATTGAAATTAAATCAAAGTAGCCCTTATCGTTATAATAATTGGTTTGCATAAAATACAGATCGAGTAAAGATCTGAATTTATTATATGCATGCATATGATTGGATGGCTTCCACTACCTAACGAAATTGGTGCTTTATAATAGATTAGATGTCTTTTCTATCTGACAAAATTGGCACTTTGTAATAGTTTGGATGTCTTTTATTACCCGGCGAAATTGGTGCTTTATATAAAAGTTGGATGTCTTTTACTGTCTTGCAAAATTGGCACTTAATATATAGATTGGATGTCTTTTACTGTCCGATACTGTAGTACAAATAAATTACAAATAAACAAATTATATATATAATCAACATGGTTATTATACTTAACTTGAATATAGATTACACAACATTATTATGTCTTACTCTATATGCAACAACATTCTTGCCAAATACTTAACAATAGCCAAATGCAAATCCCACCTAGCACATTCAATCCCCAATAGTATTATGCTTAATCTATACTTGTATAATATTTATAATATATAGGACATCCAACTCTAACATCATATTACTAACTTTTTATTATGACTTAACAATTCTAACCTACTTGGAACTTCAACATAGATAAGGCTATAACAACTTTAAAACAACCTATAGTCAACTGTTAATATACTTCAACATCTCAATTCCATTATTGATGATCCAAATAAACATATACTAAATTTCAAAATTATTCAATTACTAAAACACTTAAACATATTCATAACAGCTAATTCCAATATTTTATAGCCAAAGACTATATTATATAATCTTCAATTGATAGAATCAATTTTATTTCAACATACTCAATACATTAGCTTCAAAAAACAAATCAGAAACCTTAATATCCTATACTTTGAACAGCTTTGTACAGCTGACAACACCACTTTATTAAAATGAAAACATCTTTTAACATGATTGTTATACCTACCTAAAGGTTAAAAACCATTATGGTTCACTTCTCTAAAAAAAACTGTAATGGCTCATAATAGTTTCAGAATCCTTCTTCTACACTACTAACAACTAGGATATAACTCATTTGCATACAGCTTACAACATATTTCTAAAAACTCCAAAACCTGGTTACTTATATATACTGACAATGAGATTATTATTGGCAAAATCTGCAGACATTTAAAAAACATTAATCAATTATTTATTTTTTTTTTTGGTATTAAGATAACCTCTTTGGTCTTTTGACTTTTATTAATCACTTATCAGTATTGTGG